GCGGTTTAACGACTGGTAGCAGTTCCATGACGGGCAGTGGTCACACGAAGCCTTTGTGGATGGGAGACCACGGCGGGTGAGAGACAGACAGATACATCATGCAGGGTGAGTACAGAGTTTATTATTGGGTTATGGAAGGGAAGGGGGAGAGGGAGAGGGAAAGGGAGAAGGAGAGGGAGAGGGAGAAAAAAAAACAGGCAAGGGGGAGGGGGGAGAGAAGAGGCAGCAGCCACCTCTTTTAAAGAGGAATGGAGATAGAAAGAGGGAGAGGAGGGGGAGGAGGAGGGAGGGAGGGAGAAAGAGAGAGAAGAAAGAGGAGGGAGAGGGGGAGAGAGGAGAAAGGGGGAGAGAGAAGGGGAAAAGAGAGGGAGAGAGGGAGGGAGGGAGGGAGGGAGGGAGGGAGGGAGAGCACTCGCACTCTGAACACCGGAGGGGGCGGGATATCTGCTTCCCCCTGCGGAAAGGGAGGGGTTGGGAGAGGGCAGGGCTTGCTCTTAAAGGGACAGGGTACCCAGGTGACAGACCCGCCAGCATATCATAACACACAGTAGTGGTCACAGCTCGGTACAAGATGGGCTTGAGTTTCCCCTCTGTGATGTTCATGCTATTCAATTTGGTTTCTTCAAGAATGTGCAGCCGGGTGGTGGTGGCGCACGGCTTTAATTCCAGCACTTAGGAGGCAGAGGCAGGCAGATCTCTTTGAGTTCGAGGTCAGTTTGGTCAACAAGAGCTAGTTCCAGGACAGATTCCAAAGTTTCAGAGAAACCCTGTCTCGAAAAATCAAAAAAGAAGAAAAGAAGAAAGAAGAAGGAAGAAGAAGCAGAAGGAGAAGAAGGAGGTGCTGGAATTAGCTAAGTAGTTGGAGGCACATTCCTTTAACCCCAACACTCCAGAGGTGGAGGCAGGTGGATATCTGTGAGTTTAAGGCCAGCCTGGTCTACAGAGCAAGTTCTAGGACAGCCAGGGCTACAGAGAAAACCCATCTCAAACAAAACAAAACAAATCTCTTAGCTGGGTGGTGGTGGCGCACACCTTTAATCCCAGCACTCAGGAGGCAGAGGCAGCCAGATCTCTATGAGTTTGAAGCCAGCCTGGTCTACAAGAGCTAGTTCCAGGATAGGCTCCAAAAGCTACAGAGAAACCCTGTCTCAAAAAACCAAAACCAAACAAACAAAAAACAAATGTGTTAGAACTAATGGTATATACTCTGCTATTCTCTGGACAGTGATTTAAAGTTGCCAAGAGGATCCGATCCGAGAGATGGGTGATCCAGGAATTTAGAACATACTTGTTGATTTTTCAAAGGATCAGGGTTCAAGTCCCAGCTCCCCACATGGTGACTTACAATCCCCTGGAACTGCCCTCTTATGACACCATTGGCACCAGGCACACACATATGTATATGTAGGCAAAACTCTCATTCATATAAAATGAATAAATCCCCCCAAAATCTTTCAAGTTTCCAAGAGACAATGTAATATTATGAAGAGTCAAACAGAACTAGCGATTCCTGCTTTCGCAACAACCATGCTCTATTAAATCTGGAACATTATAAATTACAAGAGGAACAACTAAGCCAGGTGGTAGTGGCACACGCCTTTAATCCCAGCACCCAGGAAGCAGAGACAGGTGGACCTCTGAGTTCGAGGCCATCCTGGTCTACAAAGTGAGTTCAAGGACAGCCAGGACTACACAGAGAAGCCTGTGTCAAAAACCAAAAAATCAAATCAAAACAAAACAAAACAAAAACCAAACAAGAAGGACTAGTATGTATTTATTCCTAAGAAAAAACTGCTGTTAAACTATGACACATGATTTCTTTTCTCTCCCCCAATTCCCTTGTTTCTTTAAGTAATGTTTAGATTTATGTAGCACCACTAATAAAAACCCAGGGTTTCAAACTGAAGATCAGAAAAGCAAAACAGTCAAACTCTAGAGATGTCTTACCTCTACCAAGACTGGGAGATCTTGTAGTAAGCGACTGCAGACTGACCACAGACTGAGACCTTGAGCTCCTGTCTCCTCCTGTCTCCCCTTCCTCTCTAGTGCTGGGATTAAAGGCATGCACCACCACTGCCTGACCTCTGTGACTAACTAGTGCAGCTGCTGGGATTAAAGGTGTGTGCCACCACTGCCTGGCCTCTATGGCTAACTAGTGTGGCTAGCTTTGCACTCTGATATTCAGGCAAACTTTATTAAAACATACATAAAATATCACTATATTTATTTTATGTATGTTTTGCCTGAGGAGGCCAGGGAAGGCATCAGATACCCTGGACCTGGAGTTATGGATGGTTATGAGCTACCATGTGGGTGCTGGAAACTGAACTCCAGTCATCTGTGAGAGTGACCAATACCTCAACTGCTGAGCCACCTCTCCAGTCCTTTCCAGTATTTTGTTTTGTATTTTTCTTTTTGGAGACAGGTACTCTCTCTCTCTCTCTCTTTTTTTTTTTTAAATCCAGTTGCCTCTGCCTTCCAAATTCTGGGATTAAAGGCATGGGATACCATGCCTGATCACTACCAGATAATTTTTTCTTTCTTTTTTTTAATGTTTATTTATTATTATGTATCCAACATTCTACCTCCATGTAGCCTGCAGGCCAGAAGAGAGCACCACATCTCATCATAGATTGCTGTGAGGAACCATGGTGGTTGCTGGGAATTGAACTTGGGACCTCTGGAAGAGCAGTCAGTGCTCTTAACCTCTGAGCTATCTCTCCAGCACCCCCCTTTTTTTTCTTTTTCTTTTTTTGATTTTTGAGACAAGGTTTCTCTGGAGCCTGTCCTGGAACTAGCTCTTGTGGACCAGGCTGGCCTTGAACTCACAGAGATCCGCCTGCCTCTGCCTCCCAAGTGCTGGGATTAAAGGCATGTGCCACCACCTCCTGGTGAGGTATTCTCTATGTAGCCCTGGCTATCATGGAACTCACTATGTAGACTAGGCTGATCAAATCTCAAACTCACAGAGATTCACTTGCTCTACCTCCTGAGTACGGGGATTAAAAGCCTGCACCACTACACCCATCTCATTTTTTTAGAAATTTCTTGAGGTAGAAGCTCATGTAACCCAAGCTGCTATCAAAGTGGTCAGCCTTGAAACCATATACACATCAGCAACAAAGCATACCCAGCTGGTTGTGTTTATGTATATACGTGTTGACGTGTATATTTGTGCATACACATATATCTATATGCATGTAACAATAATAAGAAAAAGAGGCTATCAAATTGAGAGCCATAGGAGGGACTCATGGGAGGATAGCTGGGACGGGCTAGGGGGAGCAAAGAGAGGGGAAAAAGAAATGAAATGAATCTTTCAAGTTTTTGTTGAAATGTAAATTCCTTTATCTCAGGATATGTAAGGCCATTGGGTGTGTGGTTTAAAAATCTTAAAAATCAGTAAACTTAAAAGCAAATAAAAAGTTTAAAACTTGTAACAGGCAGTAATTGTAACAAAAATTAGTCCCAGTACTTGGGAGGCAAAGGCAGGCAGATTTCAGGATTCAAGGCCAACCTGGTCTGCAAAGTGAGTTTCAAGACAGCCAGGGTTACAGAGAAACCCTGTCTCAAAAAAAAAAAAAAAAAAAAGACAAAACCCTATTTATGTATATGAGTGCTCTATCTGCATTGCCAGAAGAGGGAATAGGATCCCATCATAGATGGTTGTGAGCCACCATGTGGTTCTTGGGAATTGAACTTAGGACTTTGGAAAGAATAGCCGATGTTTTTAACCACTGAACCATCTCTTCAGCCTTTGCTTTGTTTTTTGAGACAGAATCTCTATGCAGTCTTAGATTTCACTAAGTTTCCTGTTTTGTTTTGTCTTTTGAGACTTCTGGCTGTTCTGGAGCTCACTCTGTATATCAGGCTGGCCTTCCAACTCCAGAGATCCTCCTTCCTCATCCTCTGGAGTGCTGGGATTAAAGATGTGAGCCACCAACACCCTGCCAGGACACTTTGATCCTAACAATAGGGAAACTGAGGGAAGAGGTACAGTTCCAAGGTAGCTAGGGTTACAGAAAGCTCCAGGATAGGCTGTCAACAAAGCAACTCATTATCTCAACAAAACGAAGGCTGGAGATACAGTGGGGAGTGCTGGGCATGCCCAAGAAACACACACAAAAAATATTGAAAGAAAACATTTCTCTTCTCCTATTTCCTAGTCTTCTAGATCATCCCGGATTACTGTTTCTAGGCTGATTTTAGTTTTAAATTGGAATTTTTAGAGCCAGACATTTTTACAGTTTTTCAGCTGAAATCTAGTGTGTGTGTGTAGAGAGGGGGGTGTTGGTGAGGGCTGGGGAGGAAGTTGATGGGCTGTTCCGTAGAAGAGTAAGCATCCATTGTAACAGCCTCCACTCAGGGCACGAATGCCAGGCAGCAGTGCCATGGCAACCGCATCCCCGTCTTGGAGGTTCCCAAGGGATTTTCTGTGTCCTGGGAAAAGGCCACACTCACTGGACTCACGTTTTTTAAAAAGCGAAAATGATATCCACTGGGATAGGGTTTACACACGCCCACACGCCACTCCAGTACTCTTCATCATCTAGAATCTTTGTTTAGGAGGATCCAAAATGATTCCCCCACCCCACCCCGCGAGCGTATAAACTAGTAAAAAGAAACAAGGCGCAAAGAAAATTAAAAGAGATGCTGTCTGCAGGATATTCTGAGCCGAGGTCCTCCCAACACCCCTGCCGCTCTTTTTTCGTTGGAATGCCTTCCAAGCGGCCAGTCGAGGGAAAGCCAACAAGCGAGATGCCGGAGCCGCCCCGCAGCGCCCTCTCCGCCAGCGGCAGGTGGGGCTGCCCTGCTGGGTCCCCACGGCTGCGGACGCCCCTTCCGGGGACGACTCGGCGACTCCAGGCCTCTCAGGGCCAGAAGCGAGCAGCAAGTCCGCGCGCCGGTCCCGTTTCTGGCCGGCGCGTGCCTGGGGCGGAGCTGGGGGTGGGCCCTCGCGTGATTGGCCATCCGGGCCAGGAGGCGGGGCTGCCGGACGGACGCTGACAATGAGCCTCCATAAAAGGGAGCGGCGGGGTCGGGGGCCCCGGATCGAGCCCTCCCCGCCCGGGGTCGTGACTAGCTGAAGGCTGTGGCTGGCCGGGTGGGCGGCCGGCCGGGCGGCTGAACTAGACGATTCGCGGGCCCTGCGTGGTCCGGGGCGGGAGGCGGCCGCCACTGGCGGCGCGCCGAGGCCTGCGTGCCCGTCCTCCGCTATCGGGTCGCCTTTCTCCGCCTCGCCATGGCACTGAGAGCAGAAGGAGCCGCGGCGCTCGACTGCTTCGAGGTGACGCTCAAGTGTGAGGAAGGAGAGGACGATGAAGAGGCCGTGGTGGTTGCCGTGATCCCGCGGCCCGAGCCGATGCTCCGAGGTAGGGGGGGGGAGGTGAACCTCACTTCCGCATGGCGACAAGGGGCTCGGCCACCGGTTCCCATTCCCTGGTCCCCAGGCGCGGTCTGGGCCTTTCCTGGTGGGGTCCACGGCGGGCGCGCGCCCTCGCTCCTCCCCCACCGGGGTTTGGAATCCCAGGCCTCTCTCGGAGCCCCTTCCTCCGCTCCCCTCCCCCGCTCAGGGTCTGGAGGCTTCCATCCACACCAAAAGAGCGCTTCGGGTCTTCCGGTTCCTTGTGCCATCTCGGGCCCAGTTTAAAGGCCGGATTCCCAGGACCGTGGTTTGTGCGCCGCTGCCGGCTCCCCGTTTCGGCCTGACTGCGTCCTAGGCCGAGGGGCGACCAGGCCTCTAGGCCCCAGGCTGGTCGCCGAAGCGATAACTGTGGCGAAGGCTAGCGCGACTGCTAAACTCCCGAGGGGAGCATTTTAAAAGCCCTGCCAGGTAGAGTCCGCCCGACCCCATCCCAGGCCTTCTCTCACAGGAGCCACAGGTGTCAGTTCCAGAACCCCGCCGTTGAATGGAACTGCAAGCAGCACCCAGTTTGACAAAAGCGGGACTTGATTGGGGGGTAGTACTAAGCCATCTACATGGAGATTAGTCACCAAAGGAGGTATTTGAGGGACAATTGGAAATAACTCGCTCACCCCTCCCCTTCTCCATTTCTCTTCCCCTGCTTATTTGGTCCAAAGGAGAAAACAAAGAACTACCTTTGTGCAAGGCTATCAGTCATTGTTGTAGTTTAAATGAAGTCATGAAATTGCAAATATTTTCTTGAGGAATACCTGTTTCCCTTAAGCAAGACTATAGCCAAAAGAGATTGAGAACTAAGTCCTTCGTCCTGCTTCTTAATGATTTCTGCGCCCCTCCCTTTTCAAGAAGGGAGGATTAGAAAATTCGAGAAATAAAGGGCACATTCCTCTCAGTGTTTGCATCACGCAGGTTGCAGGTTATTTTCTGCGTGTGCTGGTCTATGGAGTGCTTGCTCTGCTGTTGTCAAAGGCTCGCTGTTAATCCACTCAACATTTCTACCAGAGTGGCCTCATCACTGTTAGAAGGAAACAGACAACTACAGAGGTTCATTCATTCAACTGTATTTATTTATTGGGCAACTATATGCCAAGCGTTGCTTCAGGTGGGGTGGGGGTTGGGAGAAACGTAACAGTGGTGAGCAGGGTCAATGAAACCCTGCTCTAGAAAATACATCCCAGTGGCAGCCAACAGGAAAATTGAACTATAGTGTGTTAGCTGGCAATGAGTTCTTTTTTACTTGGTTTGTGTGTCACAGCATGCATGAAGAGGTCAGGACAACTTTTGAGAGTCAGTTCTTCCACCATGTGGGACTGAATTGGCTCATAAGGGTCTGGCAGCAAGAACTTTTACCAATCCAGCCATCTCCCTGGCCCAGCCATCAGGGTTTTTTAGGGAACACGAAAGTGGAATAGAAAAGTGGGGGTATAGTAAGAATTTTGTTTCTGTCAAGTGGTTAGGAAAAGTGTCTCTTCAAAACAGAACAAACAGAGCTGGGTAGTGGTGCACACCTTTAATACTAGCACTACAGAGAGAAACCCTGTCTTGAAAAACAAAAATAACAGTTACAAAAAAGAACAGAAGGAAGAAGTCTTAGAAAGTAGATGAGTTTAAAGTTTTGTTGTTTGGGCTCAGCATGGTGCTGTACCCCTTTAATTCTACCACTCTGGAGGCAGAGGCAGGCTGACCGCCAAGTTTCAGGTTATCCTAGTCTACTTAGTGAGTTGCAGGCCAACCAGAGCTATAGTGAGACAGTGTTTTTATAAAGAAAAGAGTTTAATTTGGTTTGTTTTTGTTTTGTCTTAGTGACTTTTGTGATAAAGACAAGACAACTTGTTTGTGGGACTTGTTGGCATATACCCAGCACTTGGGAGGCAGAGGATAGGCTGGAAGATCTCTGAATGAATTCAAGACTAGCCTGATCTATTGAGCGAGTTCCAGTATAGCCAAGGTTACACAGGAAAGCTGGTGGGGGGGTACTTAATTAGGAGCTTAGAATCCATGCAGGTAGGAAAGCATGGTGCTCAAGCAGTAGCTGAGAGCTTATACCTGATCCACAAGCACAGGGCAGAGAGTACACAGGAGCTTACCTGGGAGACCCTGAGAGAAAGAGTATAATGTGCTAACTGGGAATGGCATAGAGTATTTGAAACCTCGAAGCCCCACCCCCAGTGACCCAGCACCTCTAACAAGGAATGCCACACCTCCTGATCCTTCCCAAACTGTTCCACTAACTGGATTAAGCATTCTTATACATGAGTCTTTTGGGCCATTGTCATTCAAGCTACCCACAATTTTGTTCTCTGAAAGTGGAAGGATTATCAGTTTACTGAGACAGACAGGGATGAGGTGTAGACTTGTTGGAAGATTAGGATAGGTCTTTGAATATGGTTGCATTCACATTGTCTCTTACAGGCTCTAGCAGAGTGATTAAGCATTTGGATGTCTACACCTAGAATTCTTGTCCCATGGGTATATATGTGTTGCCAGGTCAGATAATCAAGCTTGTAATCTGAGCTACTCAGGAGGCTGATGCAGGAGGATCACAAATACTTGAACATCCTGGACTTGTCTCAAAAAGTAAAAAAAAAAAATAGCTGGATATAGAGCTTGTTGGTAGCTCATCTGCTAAATAACAAGTACAAGTATGCAACCCTACAGTCAGTCTCCAATAATGCTGAAATAAATAAAATACGGGAGTTGTCAGCAGGCAACCAGGTGAGAATTATCCGAAGGAGGAGGCCAAACGGGGCCAAAGGGCAGCCAGTCCCTTGTCCTTGATACTTCGTACTGTTGTTGTTCTTGAGGTTTAGACATAAAAGAGAAATCTATCAAGGGCTGGTGCTGTACTGTGCTCTGGAGGAAAAAAGCAGGGGGGAGGTGGCATAGTCACCTGGTAGATTGCAGCTTCTGAAGGAGGTTGAGAAAATAGTTTTCAGAGTGATTGAGTAGGAGCAGGCAAGTTAAGTAAGAGAATCAAAGAGGACAAGCAGTGTCCTAAATGTGAGTGGTAAAAGTCAAGATGGAAGGTGATTGACTGAGTAAAAGAATTGCTGTTGGGTCACAAGTTCTGGTTTAGGAGAATGGGGGGAAGAAGGCCAGTTGAAACTAGGGTGTCCTGTCACATAGGAGAAAGGTTCTAGGACCTAGACTATTCTAGATGTTACCTTTTCCTAAAGCCCCAGGTAAATGTCGGAATCCAGTTAATATAGAGATGGTTACAGTACCCAGGGATTACAGGCACTTGGCAGAAAAGTACCAGGCTGATGCTGAACAGAGGGTTTCTACTCTGTGGGAGCTTTTAGTTCTCATATACAGAAAGCCAGTAACACAAGCCAAAGGGGGCGTGACCATCATTGCAAATACTTTGGGAGCACCCTGGAAAAGGAAGGCTTGTTGTGAGAGACAGATTGACCTTTGGGAGAGTCCTCAACCTGTAGAGAAGCAAGCAGGGTAGCTGTTCCTTGCATGCCAGTTTTTTGGTAACAATAAAATAACCAAATTTAGAATCCTCACCCTCAAAAAAGAATATATATTACTGTGGTTAATCCTGGTGCCATCAGGAAAGAGGTGCTGTAGGCAGTAGTAGTTTGTAATTACCCACCTACTGGGGCATGGCCTCATATACTATATACGTGCAAGTGAACCCAGCGTGTTCTCCTCCCTCTTGCTTTTTTGCCGCCAGCTGCCCCTTTGGACATGTTATTCAAGGGTCAAGCGGAGGACTCAAGAAATGACTATCTCATTTCCCCCACAACCTCAACACCTGGCGTGTAACATGAGGGCCAGCTTCTTGGTATCTGTCCCCGCCTGGTACCCTACAGCCGGCAAGTCCCAGAGAAAATCAGAGATCTCTATAAGTTATAAAGCTGATTGGCCCATTAGCTCAGGCTTCTTGTTAACTCTTATAGCTTATATTAACCCATTATTCTGATCTATGTTAGCCAGGTGGCTTGGTACCTTTTTCAGCTGTCAGCTCACATGTTGCCTGTTCAGTGGTCTGGGCAGGAATGGCAGAGGAACCTTCCTGCTTCCCAGAATTCTCCTGGCCTCATTGCATCACCTCTACTTCCTGTCTGGTTTTCCCGCCTATACTTCCTGCCTGGTCAATCAGGGTTTTATTAAAATACATGATTGACAGAATACAGATAATTCTCCCACACCACTGGCGTCTACGTGGGTTTAAACTCCACACCCACCTGGCGGATGGTTTGGTCCTTCCATGGCCCAGACAGGCTTACTGTTGTCTAAGCTTTTTTTTTTTTAAATACCCACCACAATGGAGTTTGCAGCACTTAAGCAGTGAGTTCTCTCTGTGTGTGGTCACTACTCCTCTGACTCCATCCTTCTTCATCCCAGTATCCTTAGTTTGGTTGTCCTGCCTGGCTACTGGCCAGTCAGTTCTTCATTAACCAGTGACAATAATACATATTCACAGTGTACAGAATTGTTCCACAGCATGTCCCCTTTTTGTCTTATTAAAAAGGTTTTAACCTTGACATAGTGAAACTAACAAAACAGTAAGAATTACAGTTACAATATTCAGCCCATTTTTGTATTTGTCATATTTAGAGAAAATACTCTATTATTTATCTTATCTTTGTGACTCGTTTTATACCTAATTTACATTTTATTATAACTTATGGAAAACTTTAACTATGACTGTCTAGTTGTCAACTCTGTCAAAGACCCCAGAGGAGTGAAATGTTACCTAACAACAGGATATCAGGCTGCCCGCACAGTTACCCTAGGTTCTTCTGTAACTTTGGGGTATCCAGCTCTGGCCAGATGTGTCTCACTGTCATGAAAAGCTTTAAGTTATTGAACATTAAATGCCATATTCTGTAGGTCTTTGATGTGTTTGAAGGCCATCTACCTAAATATATCTGTGCATGACCCTTGAAAACATACCTAACATGAGTATAAGTTTGACTATTACAGATAACTATCAATCTGTATTTTTGAATTATATGTTACATTTTTAAATGAGTTGCAAAAGCACAATACCCCAAACAAGAGTAGAAACATACATATAAGTATAGGAAAAATAATTTTCTGTCAATAAACCAAAATCCAAAAATATTTTGAGATAAATAGGGTATGTTTTCTTATTTAGATTCAGTAACCTGCCCTTTTTCCATTCTTCCTATATCACATTCCTCTTTTTTTCCCTTAGGAAGATATCTTTTAATTTAATTTTTTTGTTTAACCTTTTTTTTATACTATAACAAATAACATTTGTAACCAACCTCCTTAAATAATAACACATTCATAACCAGTGTTTTGGGTTTGTGAGCATCATTGTCTAGACTTCTGTGGGCATTGTTGTCTTTGGAGGAACCTTGACAAAGTCAATATAATTGTTTGATCAAAGCTGGAGTAATTTGAGAGATTGGACTATCTCAGCCAGCGGCTTTGAAGCTGTCTTGGATGTAGGATATTGAGACTGTAAAAAACATTTTGAGGAACTGTATCACCTGAGCCATCTATTTTTATTGGTGTCTGGTCTTAATGTTCTGAAAATACATAACCTTTTAAAGGTAACATACCATTTTTGTATTAATACGAGCATAGACTATGTGTTGTACACAAGTTAGTCTAAGATGATCTTTTGTTTTATATTTGACAGATAAAATGTATGTTACATGTTTTGTAATTTTTGTAGGTTTATGTCTGTTGTCAGAATTTTCAGGGAGAGGCTGAAGAGATGGCTCAGTGGTTAAGAACACTGGCTACTCTTCCAAAGGACCTGGGTTCAATTCCCAGCATCCACTTCACATCTCACAACTGTAATACCTGTTCCAAGGGATCTGATTCTCACAGGCAGACATTCCTGCAGGAAAAACACCAATGTTTATAAAATAAAAATAAATATAATTGATAAAAGAAAAAAAGAATTTGTGGGGAATTTTCTTTAATCAAACCTGATTTTCTTTAACCTGGAGTGGATCCATAGCTTCTCCTTTTCCATGAAATAAAAGCATAACTTCTCCCTCAAAGCAACGTACCTTTTGACTTAATTTTGTTTTTGTTTTAAAGATGTATTTATTTTTATGTATACAGTTATGCTTACATTTATGCTTGCATGCCAGAACCAGAGGGCACCAGATCTCATTACAAATGGTTATGAGCTACCATGTAGATGCTGGGAATTGAACTCAGGACCTCTGAAAGAGCAGCCAGTGATTGCTCTTAACCTATGAGCCATCTCTCTAGCCCTTGACTTAAATTTTGAAGTCAAGATATTTTTAAAATATGTAAGTTGGTTTAAACTAGTAGTTTTTATAATCCAGTGTCCCTGGGCAGCCAAAGAATTTAAAGACAACACAGTAACATACAGGATCCAGAGTCTGTGTATTCCCCATCTTTACATGGCTTTTTTTTAATTTTATATTACTTTACTCACTTTCTAAGAAGTTTATTTTAGGCCAGGTGGTAGTGGCACACACTTTTATCCCAGAACTCAGGAGGAAGAGACAGGCAGATCTCTGAGTTCAAGGCTAGCCTGGTCTACAGAGTGACGGGTGCCAAAGCTACAGAGAAACCTATCTCAAAAAAAAAAAACAAAAAACTTTATTTTAAAACTAAAAGTAAAACTAGGTATTACTTTTTTATGACTGTCTACACTTTCTCTTTTTCCTCCCAAGCCTATATATATTTTTAAACATACTGTAACCTGTTTAGAGGTTTTCTTCATCTGAATTTCTCTTTTTGCATATCTATAATCTTTCTGACTGCATGAGCCTTTAAACTGCTAAGTGGCATGGCTAGGACCTCTGCCTCTGTTTTGGTGACTGGTTCCATCTGGTCTGCTTGGTTCTCTGAGTGTGCATGAGAGCCATATTTATTGCCCCAACTCTGGGAGTTTTTGGATTCATGCTGTCACCAAGTAGTGCACCATCTGCAGTTCATAATCCCCACCTAAGTGTTTGGTAGCAGCCTCTCCACCCCCCCTTTTTTCCCGTTTGGGACAGGGTTTCTCTGTGTATCTTTGGAGCCTGTCCTAGACCTCACTATGTAGACCAGACTGACCTTGAACTCACAGAGATCTTCTGCCTGCCTCTGCCTCCCAAGTGCTGGGGAACTGTGCTGTGTTTGCTGCTAGCACTGATCCAGGAAACAGTCTCTTAAAGGAGCCTTGCCTCTGCTTACTGCTAGCAAATAGAGTTTGCCAGGAAAAGGCAGTTACCAAGAAGCTGTTCTTGACTCCACTTTTGTGTTTGGAAATTCTAGCCCCACATTGGAATGCCAGCTCCAGCAGCTCCCAAATAAACACTGAGGCTTAATGTTAATTATAAATGCTTGACCAATAGCTCATGCTTGTCACTAGCTAACTCTTAAATTTTCAGTTAACCCATATTTCTTATCTATGCTTTGCCACGTGGCTTGGTATCTTTTCTCAGAATGGCATGTCCATCTTGTTGCTTCTCTCTGTGTCTGCTTATGACTCCTGACTCCACCCTTTTCATCCCAGTATCCTTAGTTTGGTTGTCCTGCCTATACTTCCTGCCTGGCTACTGGCCAGTCAGTTTTTTATTAACCAGTGAGAATAATACATCTTCACAGTGTACAGAAGGATTATTCCACAGCATTCTAGGACAGCCAAGTCTACTCAGGGAAACCCTGTCTTGGTGCAGGAGTTGAGAGAAATGCCACTGATCAAGGGTTTGGGGGAAGTAAAAACTTACGTTTTTCTGTTTATTTGAGACAGGGATGCTCTGTGTAGCTTGGAGCCTGCCCTGGAACTCACTGTGTAGACCAGGCTGACCTCAGACTCACAGAGATTTGCCTTGCCTCTGCCTCTCGAGTGCTGGGATTAAAGGTGTGTGCCACCACTGCCTGACTTTTTGCTTTTTTTTTTTTTTTCCTTTTCTGAGACACGGTTTCTCTGTATACTCCTGGCTGTCCTGTAACTTACTCCGTAGATCAGACTGGCCTTGAATTCAGATTCACCTGCCTCTGCCTCCTGAGTCTTGGGGTTAGATGTGTGCCACCACACCAGTGGCAGGAAGTAGACTCTTATCTGGACAGTTTGTATGATTTATTTCAATTTTAAGAATCTGCAAATGAAACCTAAGTTTTACTGGTACAATGGATGTTGGTTACCTGGTGCTGAAGGAATCAGCAGTAATTACTAAAGACCAACATGGCATCACTGAGATTAAATTTTGTGAGAAGTATTTCCTCAGGGTCAGCACTCAAAATCTGGTGGTCCAGTGGGGGCAGAAGCTGCATCTCAATCTGAAAACTGAACATGACAGTGTGTAAAACTCATCCCGTATGAGACTGATTTTGAAAGCATGAAGGGGTGAGTGGAACTGTTCAGTTTTTAGAGTCACCTTGAAAGAGAGAACGGCAGATGATTACTTCCTTCAGATTGGCTTGTGGGCAATGTCTGTTGGAAATTGTCTTGATTGATATGGGAGGGAGGGTCCAGCCCACTGTGGGTGGCACCATCCCTAGGCTGGTAGGCCTAGGCTATATAAGAAAACAAGCTGAACAAGCTACAGGGGGCCTGGCTTGCTTGTTTGCTTGCTAGCTTTTTTGATTTTTCAAGACAGTGTTTCTCTGTAGCCCTGGCCATTCTGCCTGCCTCTGCCTCCCAAGTGCTGTGATTAAGGGCATGCACCACCACTGCCTGGCTGAGGGAGCAAGTTTTCAAGCAATATTACTCTTTAAACTCTTACTTGAATCCTTCCTACTTTGGCTATTTTCATGATATACTGTAACCTGTAATCCCTCTCTTCCTCAAGTTGCTTTGATTTTGGTGCTTATCATAACATAAAACAAAAAGCAAACTAGAGGAACTAAAACACCGAATCTGGTTGTAAAACCCTATAAATCTACCTATTCAGGAGGCCAAAACAGGAGAACTGCATGTTCAAGGCCAGCCTGGGTAACTAAGCATGGCCCTGAGTTGTATTGCTGGAATCCATATAAAGGTGGAAGGACAGAACTTCATCCCACAGGGTTGTCCTTGGGCCTCCACGTGTACTCCTTGGCACATGTGTCCCCCTATTATACATACTTAAATTAATACTTCAAAGGGAGAAGGCTAGAACTATATCTTAGTGCTTGCCTAGCATGCATGGAGCAGCCCTAGGTTTGATCCCTAACACTTTAAATAACAGGCATGGTGGTGCATGCTGCACTAAGGAGGTGGAAGCAAAAAGATCAGGGGTTAAAAATTATCTTCAGCTATGTAGGAAACTTGAGGTCAGCTTGGACTATTTGAGACTGAAGTGTGCATTGTGACCTACACATCAGATATGGGTACAGTTGGCTAGTGGGTGAGGAAACCTAAAAATCTCACTGGAATGATATCTGCCAGGTGATCAGGGAGGTCACGGCAGACATAGGGTGCCGGGTAGCCCCAGAAACATGTGGAAGGGTACTCATGACTAGATGTGAGGTAATATAAAGGTGAAGGTGCAATACCAGGCACCCTGGCTGTGTGTTTCATGCTGCTCTGGTAGGATCTGGTGGGGAGGTGGAGCACTGCACAGGAACCCCTCACCCACCCCACACTGATGTGCTCCTGGCGTCTTCACAGCACTTTCCCCTTTCTGCAGTAACCCAACAGGAAAAGACGCCGCCACCTAGGCCTAACCTGCTGGAAGCAGGTGTCGAAGGCTGTGAGGAGCCCAAGCAGCAAGTGCCATGGGAACAGGAGTTCCTAGTGGGGAACAGCCCAGGAGGCAGTGGACGGGCACTGTGCATGGTGTGTGGGGCTGAGATCCGGTCCCCATCAGCAGACACTGCTCGCACACACATCCTGGAGCAGCATCCGCATACCCTGGACCTGAGCCCCTCTGAGAAGAGCAACATCTTGGAAGCCTGGAGCGAAGGGGTGGCCCTTCTTCAAGACATCCAAGTTGACCAGCCATCCCTGCCCAGCCTAGGTAGTGAGGGTGAGGGCTGAGGGAAAAGTGGGGCCTGTAGGGGCCCTGGAGCTCAGTGGGCTTTTGCCCCCTCAGAGGCAGGCCAGGATGGCCATCCAGACCCCAACTCCAACTCGGACCCTGCCAGGATGCCAGCAGAGATTGTGGTCCTCTTGGACTCCGAGGACAACCCATCCCTCCCTAAGAGACTCCGGCCCAGAGGACTCCGCCCTCTTGAACTGCCTGGTCAGTCAACAGAGGAGATCCTGTTCTATGGGCTGGGGTGGGCATGTGTTCTCAGGAGCCTGAGGTTACAGAGTTCAGGTATAGTAGCCTTAAAGTGCTAAGGTTTTTCCTTTTGCAGTTGCCCCTGTCACAGAGCCAGGAAATAAAAAGGCCCGTGGTCAGAGATGGAAGGAGTCCTCTGAGGAGGAGCCTCCTAGGAAGAAGAGAAGCAGGCATATGACCAAAAACTTGGACCCTGACCCAGGTGAGGGGATCTAGGGGTGTTGGGCCTGACTGTAGCACTGTAGCATGGAGTCCATGAAGAAGTCCATGACAGGCAAAGGGCATCTGCATGCAGTTCGGCTGAAGCTTAAGGCCTTTTGGTTCTTGCCTCCTCTACTCACAGTTCTTCTTGGCCTTCTTCCAGACCCCCCATCTCCTGAGTCACCCACAGAGACGTTCGCAGCACCAGCCGAAGTCCGACACTTCACTGATGGCAGCTTCCCTCCTGGCTTTGTCCTCCAGCTCTTCTCCCACACGCAGCTCAGGACCACAGACAGTAAGGACCCTTCTAAAGTCAGCAAAGGAGCAGCAGAGGGCCTGCCTCAGCCAGAAAGTCCCTCTTCAGGTGAGCCTTCCTGGGAGGGGCTATCAAGGAAGCTGAGTCCCTAGATCCCAGTCAGAGCCCAGGGTGGAGGTGCTCAATGTTTAGGCTCCCAAGAGAAGGCCAAGGATGGGGGGATTTGAATGCTGAGGATGCTGGCCCCTGTGCTGAGCATCTCTCGAGGTGGTCATTAAGTTGTACTAGGCCTCCGAAAGCTTGGTGCCCAACTTCGTCCGTGAGGCTAGTTCCAGCTGGAGCGCCGGAAGAACTCAACTCACAGTGGTGATATAGGGTCCAAGTGAGGTACTCAGCCATTTAAACAGGTGTGGGGCACCATAGACAGGTGATGAACATCAGATAGATATTCCACAGTCCAGAAAGCTTAGTGAACTTTTGTTGACAGCTTGTGTTTATAACCTGTCCCACTGACTGAGGAGCTTTTGTATGTAATTCATTTGTTTCCGTATAAACCAAGCATAATCCAACACTTGGAAATCTGAGACAGGAGTGAATAAAAAAAATAAAAAAGTGGCGAACGCCTTTAATCCCAGCACTCGGGAGGCAGAGGCAGGCAGATCTCTCTGAATTTCTGGCCAGCCCGGTCTACAAGAGTTAGTTCCAGGACAGGCTCCAAAAAGCTACAAAGAAACTCTGTCTCGAAAAACCAAAAAGAAAAAGAAGGACGTGTCAGCTCCTAGGTATGGTAGAGGAGAAAGTTTATTGTAGATAATAGGGAGAGCAGAACCAGAGGCATTTGGGAAAGTCCAGAGTGAATTAGCCCCTCAACCACATGATGAGAGGTGGGGAGGCGAGAGGAGAGCCAGGTGCAGCAGCCAAAGAGTAGAAGGTAATAAGGGAGGGGTAGCCGAAATGGTTTCCCTGTATAGGGAATGGAGGCAGCTGGGGGAATAATGGGATATGCCAACCATACCCTGTAACAGGTAGGGACTGGAGGATACTGGGAGAGCCTGGTGGCCAGGTCCACTTTGATAAATAGGCACCTCAGCCATTTGCTTGAGACTTAACAAGGAGGATTGCTGCAGGTTGGCAGTCAACCTAGGTTATAGAGTAAAAACATATTATAAAAGCTAAAACCCAAAAAAGTACAATGCCTGGCTTTTGTTTTGTTTTTGTTGTTTTGTTTTTGTTTTTTGGGTTTTTTTTTTTTAACAGTCTATAGCCCAGGCTGGCCTCAAAACTGTTTAGCCAAGGTTGGCATTTAACTCTATCCTGCTGCCTCTGCTTCCCAAGTACTGACCCAGGAAGCTGGTCACCACTGATAATCACCCCTCCTAACTTGCCTTCCCTTCCTTCCTTCGTTTGTTTGCTTAAGCTTTTTTTTAATTGTTTATTTTACTCATGGGAGGGCACATGCCATGGTGCAGAGAGGTCAGAGAACAACCTGCAGGAATCTGTTTTCTCCTTCCACTGTGTGGGGGCCTGAGATTGAACTCACATCAGCAGACTTAGTACCAGTACCCAGTGTACTTTCTGTTGCTTTAGGATTCTGGTCTCCATCCATCAGGCTTTGCTTTACTGACCTTTTATTTCTACCATTTGATCTTTTACTTCCTTGTCACTTGGAAGAGTCAGTGCTTAACTCAGATTAAGACTTAAGGCGTCTCCAGCTCCTGGACCCTTAACTAAGTTCTGAGCTTTTCCTCATGTCTTGCTCATGAAAGTAGAGCATGGGAAGTAAACCTTATGACTTTGTTTTATTGAGGGGAAAACTGAATCAAGCATTGTAATGGTGCACACCTATAGTCCCAGACACTGCTTTTGAACTCAGGTGCCTGATGTCAGCCTGTGGAAAGTAATTAGACCACATGTCAAAAGAAAAGCCAGGGAGGGACTGGAGAGACAGCTCAGAGGATAAAAACACTTGTAGAAACCAGATGACCTGAGTTTGATACTCAGATCCCACTATAGGAGAGCACCAACTCTAAAAGTTGTCCTCAGCCCAACTCTGACACTTGCAGCCTCACATCATCTATAGCTCTCCTCCCAATAATAATAGTTATTATGATGAAAAACCAGAAAATAAGGAAATTTGAGTTGCTAGTGTGGAACACTTGTTTAGCTTGTGTCAAAAACCCCAATATGTAGTGTTGTTTGGGCTGCATGTAAGTCTGTACATCACCTGCGTGCCTGGACTTGCAGAGGCCAGAAGAAGGTTTTAAAACCCTGCAGGTTATAGATGGTTGTGAGTCACCATGTATATGCTGGGAATTGAACCTGAGTCCTTTGCAAGAATAGCCAGTGCTTTTATCTACTAAATGTCTCCAGCACTAGTTTGTTTTTTTCAGAGTCATTAAGCAGCCTAGGCTAGCCTTGATCTCTCAGTTTTCCTGCCTCAGCCCCTTCAGGCTAAGATTATAAGCATAAACTGCTGCATCCTACAAAGATTTTTATCCCCGACAATACAAAAGTAAAGGGTTAGGGGACAGAAGCTAGACCCTGGGCATGTAAAGTTTCTTGGCTAGGGTCTCTCACCCAGCAGGCTAGAGTTTGTTGTCCGTCCACCAGGCCCATCAGACATCTAGCTGCAAGCTTGGTACTCGGACCTGTTGTGTGACAACTTTTCTTGGTGTTGCAAGCCACGTACATGTTTGTTCCCGTTAGGGAACTGACTACATACCAAAATATGGAGACCACTTATGTTCAATTTGGTTAACCAGTGAGTTTTATTGGGGTTATTTATAGGCATATGAATGAGGGGTGACTTACAGGAGCAGAAATGACTCAAAGATCATTGTATCATCAGAGCCCACCCCAGCATGGCAAACATGTTACTTTCAAAACTGAACCTGGAGCACACTGCTTCCAGGCAGTTCAACAGGTTAAAGATGTCCTTTCCAGGTGCCTCTTTGGGGCCAAACCTCTTCCAGATAGCATTGGTTTCTGCTTCTCCAGGCAAGTGGTCTGGCCTCAGGCAGCTTTTCTCCTCTTTAAAGCTCTACCTGTCTGGCAGCCTGATTTTACAGCTCAGCTTTTATTGTTTACTCTTGCAGGGAGGGGCTTAGTGAATCTGATCAGTTTCCCGGACTTCCTGAAGGTTTTGTGAGTTGTTTACCTTCCTGCTTGAGCTGCTTCCCTGCAGGATAGAATGTTTCTATCTTTGAGGATATTGTTATGCAAGCCCTCCCACCCAAGTCTACCTCCTCTCCTCTCAGGGGAAGCCCCTAGCAGGGATTACCTCTTCTCCCATTGCGGGAGCACTCCACATCTTCTGTCATCCCACACAAAGCTGCTATTTCTCTTTTCCTGACCCCCTTCTTCCTTCTGACTATGTCCATTTATTCCCAAGATGGAATCTTTGCTTGCAAACCTGCCTTTTGCCTTTGTCTCTGGAGTCTGCTGGGCTCATATTTTATCCATAACAAACTGAAGCTTTTTCTTTACCAACGCCTGTTGACTGCCATAAGGTTAAAGCACACAGTTTGACCTCCATTTTCATCCTTTGAGTTAATCTGAAACAGACTATGTAGCCTTGTAGACCTTCATCCTCTTCTTCCCAAGTGCCAGGTTTACAGATACACGTCATCATACCTGACATTTCTCATGTCCTACAGTTGGTAACACATCATATTATTGTCTGTCGTCCCCATTCTAGAATGTAAGCTTGTTAGCCCCGTGATGGTCCCAGTGGTCGTAACACTTTAGGTGCAGCATTGTTTATATGTATCTAGGAAATGACATCTGTGTGGTTCCAGCCTGGCCCTCTCTCTCCCTTTGGTTCCAAACTCCCTACTGGTAGCCAGGCATTACCTCTACTTGGTCAATTAAAGTTGTTGGCAGAGGATATATAGTGAGATCCTGTCTCAAAAAAACAAAACAAACCCTAGCACTCAAGAGGCAGAGGTGGCAGACTGCAGTGACTTTGTGGAGTTTGTGACCAGCCTGATCTACGTAGCAAGTTCCAGGGCAGCCAAGGCTACATAGCAAGACCTTATCTCAACCAAAACAAAACCCCAACAGATTTTTTTTTTTTTTTTTGATGCAGGGTTTCTTACCTCAGAAAAGTTTGTTTCAGACACCATTTCTCTTGTGGTTGGGCACACCTTTAACCCCATTATTTGAAAGGCAGAGGCAGTTGGATATCTGAGTTTGAGGGCAGCCTGGTCTGCAGAGTGAGTTCTAGGACAGCCAGAGCTACACAGAGAAACCTGGGGGTGGGTTGCCAGGAGATGCTTCCCTTTCTCTAGTAAACTGCTACCTTTGGTTTGCTGTAGCCAAACCATCAGTTACCCTCTTCTGTCTCTCAACCCTACATCAGTCCGTCTGCAAACCTCAGTTTACTCTTCTGTCAACTACCACTACTCTGACCTAATGTTGCCTTAACTTTTCCTGCAGAGATATGAAGAAATTTCTGCTTACTGCAGATAAGATGCTCAACTCATCTTAGTGTTCTGCCACTGAACTAATGCCAGCTCTGTTTACTTTTTATTGTGAGACAGAGTCTCATTCAGTTGCCCAGGCAGGCCTTGAACTTTGGGTTATGATCTTCCTGCTCTACCTTCTTATGGGCTGGGGTTATGAGCATGTGTGTGGTCCACACTGGTTTGATGAATCTCTCTATATGTGAATTGAACCCAGGGCCTAGAGTTTTCATGCTCCACCACTGAGCTTGCTATAGTCTCAGCTCTTTTTTGTTTTTTAAATAGAGTTTATACATAGACCTGACTGTCATGGAACTTACTGTAGTGTAGACTGGCTGGCCTCAAATTCACAGAGATCCACCTGCCTCTACTTCCTGAGTGCTAGGATTAAAGTTATGGGCCACCAGGCCTAGCTTGTATGCTCTTGCATAATTTTAAACTCAAGCAAAAATCAGCAAAATCATACCTGCTTTAATTATACAGAAAAGAATTCCTGGGAGGAAGAAAATTTACTGGATATATTTAAGTACATAATTAGCACAGTTTGATTACCATTTCCTTTTTGGGGGGTTTTGGTTTGTTTTTTCTTAGTAGCCCTGGCTGTCCTGCAACTCACACTGTAGATCAGGCTGGCCTTGAACTAAGTTCCACCTGCTTCTGCTTCCCAAATGCTGGTATTACAGGCAAGGCATGTGCTCAGCTTTTGTGGAGCAGGGCAGTCTCATACAGTAGGATTTGAAAATGACCTTGACCTCTTGGTTGACCTGCCTCTGTCTCTCTAGAGTGAGATTGCTTTGCCATATAATATCATGTGTGTGGGCCCAAGTCAAGGACATTTTTTTGTTTTCTGCCTTGTCCTATCTGGAGGCCTGGCATTGCTATTCCCAGTACCCTCGTGCCAAGACACCTGACTCTGTGACAGCTGTCAACTCCAGGGATGTGGAGCCTGGATGAACGCTGCAGAGCAAAGCTGGAGCATTAACCCAGGGTGTCTGTGATGTCCTTTGTATGTTATTCCCATACTCCATGGAGTCAATGGGTGTGTTCCTCACCATATCACTTTTGTGTGCAGTCTTGAAGTTAGAAATTGGCATCATGGCATTGTGAACCCACATGCCAAGTACACAAGGAGAAAGCTATATTCTATGCTTGCCCTATGCCTAAGGGCTGTGAGACTAGTCATTGCTGGTCAATCAAGAGTCAGCTTTATGCTTTTTCTTGGACTTCCCCAGGACAAGACTGTGGGCTATGGAAATGAGAAACCCTGGTAGTCTGTGGTTTGCAGTTTTGGGGACCATTGGAAGGCCCTGACTGTACTCTCTGCTCCCATCCCTTCCCAGCTCCCCCTCCGGGGCTTCGTGGGACACTGGATCTCCAGGTTATTCGTGTTCGGATGGAGGAGCCGCCAGCCGTCCGCCTCTTACAGGACTGGTCCAAGCATCCCCAGGGTACCAAGGGGGTGGGAACAGGTGACAACTCAGACTGGCCCACTGTTCTGCCAGAGTCCAGTGCCACTGTTAAGGGACAACCAGAGGCAGGAAATGGGGTATGAGTTTTTACTTTCCTGGGGAGGGAGAGGTGGGAGGAAGGAAAGGTGGGAGAGAGGAGGCAGTATCCCCCTTTGGCTTAAATCTCAGATCTGCCCAGCCAGCCACCTGATTGAGTTTTAAAACCAGGTGCCAGGAAAATGTGGAAGGAGAAGTGACATCACTGTCACATTGGGGCACTAGAAAATGCCTGCCCCTGGACAATCCTGAATTAGACAGAGGTGGCTTAGGCTATTGGGTGATATGGCATTGGGCCTGTGGAGAACACCTTCCCCAATCCTTTGCTGACTCACCCTCTGACCCCACACCTCTTTCCTGTCAGCTCCCACCATTCTCCCCTGGCACAGTGCCTTATGCAGAGGTGGTCATGATGGGGTTTGAACTGAGTCCCACTACCTCGGGGGACACCTCTCCTCCCCCACTTCTGGCTCCTTCAGGAGGAGGCCTCCATTACCTCTTAACCGCCTCATCCCTGCCGAGGGCTCCCTTTACCACCCCTTCTCCTATTGTCCTGTTGCATCTTTTATCCAATTGTATATATTGCCTTTGTTGACAATAAATTATTTTTTTTTTAATTAAAAGTTCTGTCTGGGCCATCATTGGGAAAAGGGAGCAGCTTGAGGAGCAGGAAAATTGAAGGGTAGCCTTAAGTTGGAGCCAGAGACCCCTGTCCCGGGCAAGGGAGCCTTGAGCCCAGAACAGAGCTTGCTTAGGCCTCTGGAACTGTTCTAATTTGGTGTCAGTCAACTGAGAAACACCTTACTTCTCTCCATTAGCACATTTTCTATATTTGACCTTCTAACCCACCTGGTAGACCTCTGTCCAAGCAAGGCTACCATGGAACTGGGACACTCACACCCAGGGAGATAAGAGTTATTGGGGCCTGAGCTGCACGTGGTGGCATGCACCTTTAATCCCAACACTTGGGAGGCAGAAGCAGACATATCTCTATGAGTTCAAAGCTAGACTTGTCTACAGAGTGAGTTCCAGGGCAGCCAAAGCTGTTACACAGAGAAACACTGTCATAAAATAAAATAAAATAAAATAAATGTTATTAGGGCCTGATCCTGGCCAGCCTGCACAGACATCTCTCCTATGAGAAGGTACCATATGCCTACTTTCTTATAGTTCAGTGCCCTCTGCTACACAACTCACCCTTAGCCCCCAGCCTCAACACAAGTCTGACTCGGGTTTCTGCAGATTTGGGGCTCTTGAGCTATCCTTATACAGACGTAATCTGTGGGCTCTTGCCCTTGGGGCAAAATGAACCTTCCAGGTTGCTTAATCCAAAATTCTAGGTTCCACTGTCCTATTCAGAATCCCCAGCAAGTATCTCGTACAGTGGGGCTGCCCTACACTGCTGACTACTTGACTGTTCCAGTAAATTATAGAGACCTAGGGGAAAAAAAGGAAGACACTTCAACTGGGGAGAGTGAGGCTGTGTTAGATCTCATACTAGACAAAAGGATTGACCCTTTTGAACCATCTGGTGTTCTCAGAAGGAGCTCAGGAATGTAGAGGGTCCTTGTCCAGGACAGGCTGAGACAGGCATGAAGTAGAGGTGGCAAAGTTTCAGGGTACCTCATGTCCAGAATGCCTCAGCCATGTATGAGACAGGTGGGCCACAGGACTCCTGGGTCTGTATGTGTTTCTGCAGATTGACACAATTTGTATGCTCCCTAACAATGCTCCCCATCTCTGAAAGCACCAGTTGGAGTTGTAGGTAGTTTCTGTCCCTACAATTGTGTGACTTTACATTTATGCCACCTTTCTTTTAAAGACATCGTGGCTATCACAAAGTATTGAGGATACATGTCAAAGATGGTGTTGTGAAATGATGACCAAAAAGTCCATTTGTTGCAGTATGATCCTGGTTTGTCCTAGCCTGTGAACTGGGACAGAGACCAGATTACATTGACTTAATGTTTCTGGTGCCCTGCATAGGGACCTGGCACATAGGTGCTCAATAAACATCTGTCAGATGCTATCTTGGTCTCTAGGTGTGCATTCTGTGTGACCTTTTTCTCATACAGCCAATGAATGACTCAGTTCTTTTTGGGTTTTTGTTTTTGTTTTAGGTATTCTGGCTGTTTCAAAGTGATGATCATCCTCGATATCCTCCCAGGTGCTGGGATTATAGGTATTCTCCATGCCCACTCTTAACACTAAACTTATAACAGTAAAAAAAAAAAAAAAAGTATTAACACTGACCCTTCAAGATGAGGGGTTGTCTTATAACTAACTAGCTTCAAATTGAGAGTTCCCAGAGCCCCCTCATATGGAAAGCCTGGTCAGAGGGCACATGCCATGAAAACCTAATGACCCAAGTTCCTTCCCTTCCCAGAACTCATGGTGGAAGGAGACTTCTGGAAGTTGTCCTCTGAGCTCCATGTGCCTGGCACTCGAACCACGGCACTTGTGCACCTGTGCTCGGACAGAGGTATTGTGGCGTACACTTTTAATTCCAGTACTCAGGAGGCAGAGAGACAGGCAGTTCACTGAGATCAGAGACTAGCCTCGTTTATAGAGTTCCAGGCCATCCAGGTCTGTGTAGTAAGACACTTTGAAAAAACAAATCACCAAGGTAAGGGATGTAATGGCTTGGATGGATCATGGTTAAGACTGCTTGCTGTTCTTGTACATCAGCACCCAGATCCAGGATATGGTTCCCGTATGCTGGATGTGCTGTTCCCGTAACCCCGGCTCTAAGGCATCTGACACTCTTGGTCTCTGTGCACACAGACATGCACACACAGACACATAAAAGTAATTTTTAAAACAAGTAGAGCTGGAGAGATGACTCAGTGATTAAAGGCGCTTGGTGCTCTTCCATACGACCTGAGTTTGGATCTCAGTACCCACCTCAGATGACTCACAATTGCCTGTGGCTCCAGCTCTAAGGGGACCTGATAACCTGGCCTCCGTGGGCAACTGCATGCATGGCATACGTACACATAAAATTTTGAAACTGGCTATGAAGTCTCACATTAACTCAAGGAAACTTGTACTTAGTTTGCTGAGTTTATTACTACAGAGTATGCTACCAAGAATTTGACCAGCATGGCAGTGTGTCCTAGCAGACTTGAGATGTGCCGCCTTGCTAGCAGGTGGGCTTCCAGAGAAAAATGGAGAGAGCCTCTGGAGCCTCCAGCACTGATTTACAGCTCCAGTCCCCTATCTGCCCCAGCGGCCCTTGTCTCTGCCTTTACTCAGCTCTGAGCCCTAGGGAGTTCCAGAGGTAGATCAGGCTGGCCTCAAACTTGCACCATCAGCCTCCACTGCTGAGGTAACAGGAATGAGCTTTGGAGCCTGTCCTGGAACTAACTCTGTAGACCAGGCTAGCCTTGAACTCAAAAAGATCACCTGCCTCTGCCTCCCAAGTGCTAGGATTAAGGGTGTGCCACCACTGCCCAGCCTGTACTTTTTTTATGTGTATGAGTGTTCTGTTTCCATGTATGTTTCTGTACCACATGCATAGTTGGTGCCTGAGGACATCAGATCTGGAGTTAAAATGAGTTGAGAACTCTGGAGATTGAACCCAGGAATTCTGGAAGAGCCAGTCAGCGCTCTTATCCAGTAAAAAGTGCCTTCAGCCCCTAAATAGTATTTATTTCTTTAGAGTCACAGAGCCTGGAATCTAATGGAAGTGAGTGATGCTTCTCTCTATTCTAAGCATCAAGAACACAAACAGCACAAGTAAATGGCAGGAAAGTTTTAACTTGCAGAAGCGTAGGTTTGTAATTAGCCATAGGAGACAGAGGGAAAAAGACAACCCACCTTGAATGGAGAAGCAAAAACTACAACTACGCAGCAGGAGGCTTTCCTGTCCTTTGTCCCACTGCAGCCCTGCCTTTTTTTTTCCCTCCCTGTACCCAGCTTCCCCAAGGTGGTGTTTTAGAGAGACAGTGTTCTGTTCTGAGAGATGATCAGAGAAAAAAGGTCACTCCAGAATATGAGTCAGGCTATGGAGCAGCGGGGAAGCCCAGCCTCTGATGGACTAAACCTCTCACAGCCAACAGCTGTTCAGAAGCACATTGATTGATTTTTGCACAAAGGTGTTTTTTTTTGGGGGGTCCAACAAGTTTCTTATACCAAATCCCCTGATCTAATATATATGTTCTCTGAAGAAGCTCATCCCAGCCCTGCAGCCTTAGTAAGCACTGCTGACAGTACATAGTCCACCTAAGTTTTGAAAACATTCACCCAACTCACCTCCTAGAGGCTTAATAAGTGAAGGGCTGGAGAGATGGCTCAGAGGTTAAGAGCACTGACTGCTCTTCCAGAGGTCCTGAGTTCAATTCCCAGCAATCACATGATGGCTCACAACCATCTGTAATGAGATCTGGTGCCCTCTTCTGGCGTGCAGGCATATATGCAGACAGAACGCTGTATACATAATAAATGAACCTTCAAAACAAAACAAAAAAAACTCTTATCTCTTTTGGAAGGCAGAGGCAGGCAGATCTCTGTGAGTCTGAGGCCAACTTGGTCTACATAGTAAGGTCCAGGATAACCATGGCTACACAAAGAAACCCTGTCTTCAAAAACAACAACAACAACAACAACAACAAAAACAAGTTGTAACTCAAAAGATTTTTCCTGGGCATGGTAATATGCTTCTATAGCCCCAACACTCTTCTTATGTAGAGAGTAGATAATATTTTAGAATGAATATTTTTGCCACACAGTAAAAAATTAAAAACCTATGTAAAAAAGGTTTCTGAATTAATTCTGAAAGGAAAATTGAGATATATCAATTAACAGAAACAGACCCAGCAGCAGTTGTGTCTTTTACTAATGCTGAAATTTCCTCATTGTGGACAGAAAATTAATACTGGCAGAGATGTTTATTGGGAGAGATTAACAACAAATATCTCAAAAGCAAGATACTTCAATTTATAAAAAGAACCAGTTGAGTCCTTGCTCACATTGTGTGGGGAACACCAATATCTGGAGTCCCTACATTCTCTCTGGAGCCCCTACTCAGGAGACGTAGGTTATAAGTCAGGAAGTTTAACTAAAGTGGCTCAAAGACCTTATGATTCTGTTCTGAAGTCAGAATTATATGCTATTCTCATGGTATTGATTTTCAGAACCTCTTAATATCGTTACTGATTCTCAATACACAGAGTTGTTTTACAAATTGAAACTGCTGAACTTATTCCAGATGATTCAGAATTAACTTTGTTATTTATTCAATTACAGGAAATAGTTAGAAATAGAACTTATCGCTTATAAATAATATATATCAGATCCCATACAGGCCTACCAGGCCCTCTAGCACAAGGTAATGATGAAATGGTTGAGCTATTGTTAAGAAATGTGTTAGAAGTGTCAGAATTTCATAAGGAACACCATGTTAATAGCAAAGATTTAAAGAATGGTTTTTTCCTATCTCTTTGTTCCCTGTATAACCAAACTCTACTACCTGCAGGAAGTAATCCTAATGATACTCAAAGTAATAAAATTTGGAAAATAGATATTTCATTTGTAGAGTTTGGAAAATTAAAAGTCTCTGTACCATACCATCAGTACATATTCAGGATTTTAATGGATAACTGCTTTGAGTTCTGAAAAGGCTGATTCTGTAATCACACATTTATTAGAGGTTATGGCCATTATGGGGATACCTGGCAAATTAAGACAGACAGTACTCCAGCATATGTCTCTAGTAAGATGAAACAGTTTTTTACATTTTACAACATAAAACATTACAGGTGGGCTGGAGAGATGGCTCAGAGGTTAAGAGCACTGACTGCTCTTCCAGAGGTCCAGAGTTCAATTCCCAGCAACCACATGGTGGCTCACAACCATCTGTAATGAGATCTGGTGCCCTCTTCTGGCCTGTAGGCATACATGCAGGCAGAACACTGTATACATAATAAATAAAAATATTAAAAAACATTACAGATACAGCACACAATTATACAGGACAAACAGTAATAGAACAATCTGATCATACCTCAAAAAATGCTTAAAAAACAGAAAGTCGTAATAAAGACCCCAGAGACAGATTACACAATTCTTTAAAATGTTTAAATGCTAATGAAAAGGGAACAACGGCTGCAGCGAGACATTGGATAATAGAAAAAAATGCTGAACTAAATTAGCTTGTATGCTTCAGAGATGAATTGACTTCAAGTTGGAAACCAGGATATGTGTTCCATTGGGGAAGAGGTTTTCCTTTTGTTTCCACAGGAGAAGAAAAGCTATAGATACATCAAAATTGATAAATATTTGATTCAAACATAAGAGACCCTTTGATTAGGAGAGGCAATAGTTCATCAAACTGCGGCAATTCTACCTGGCAACAAGGAAAACTCCTCAAAGTTAAGGTTGGGCAGGGATTTGTTTTTATCTTTCCAGAATAAAAACATCCAACTAAGGAATCTGAAGACTTTTGGACAAATGAAGCATCTGAAGAAGACAGAATCATCCAAAAAATTTCCCAAGAAAAGAAGTAAATTTGCCTAATGGTGCAGCACACTTCCAACAGGATAAGCCTCATAGCAGAAGAGGCACTTGGTATGGGACAGAAGAAAACCAAAGTCTAGAAACTATTGTCAGTAGTCTTATATCCCTTGGACTTATTTTGATTCTTTAAAATTTTCCTTAAGGTATAAATATTATCTCAAAGTTGAAAGTTTCTGTTTTGATATTAATGATCATATAAAGTACTAATTCTAACCTTAGGCTTCATGTAGCTTCCTGTACGTGATTTCAGGCTTGAGTCTGAAGCAGGTATTTAGGAATTAAGCCTATGTGTTGTAGTTCAGCAGAGTGTACAATAAACCCACATGGAAGTTTATTGATGGGGAAAAAAGAGGGACTCATGGAGAGGCTGGTCTCAGAAAAGGAAGAATTGAAGACAGAGCAAGGGACAGGTGGAGCCTGCTTTTAAAGGGGCCTTGACACTTGTGTATAGAGACGTACCCAGCCACACAGGGAATGCACATAGATTACAGATTACGTAGTGGCATACAACTGTAGGACCCTGGATCGACTAAGTATTTGCCTGAATACTGACAACACCAGTGCAGCCCTGGGATCCTGGTGTTGGCTAGGTATTGCCTGAGTATGGACAATGCATCCATGGCTGTTGGACCTTGGGGCTGGCTAGGCGGTGTTGAAATGCTAACATTCTTCCTTTTGTTTATAATAAAAAGTGAGTTAGAGATTGTTATTCCTTTTGGTCTCTGGTCCATTTAAGGGACAAGCCACGCCCACTCCCAGCGACTTCTGACCTCTCATCACCATCTTGGCCTCTTTCTGTTCCCTCTCTTAGCGTGTGCACACGTGTTTCTGTCTTTCTCTCTCTCTCTCTTTTTTTCTGTTTCTGTCTTTCCCTCTCCTTCTCCCTCTCCTTTTCTTTCTCTGCCCCCTCCCCTTTTCCTCCATAACCCCCTGAATAAATATCTTAGTCTCATTTTACATATCCAT